GTGGGAATGTAATAAAAATATATTGTACAAATTAGTATTTTAAAGCCTTCATATGCACACAAAAAGCTATACACAGTAACCTACAACAATAAGTCTAACATTACCCAGATGATGAACTGATAATATTAATTCATGATAGTGTAGAAGTGTTCATAGGAAGGAATAGTAAAGCTCAAATAGATAAGGTGCATTCATACCAAATATTTGTTTGATGAAAAATAAGCACAAATTAAGTTGAACTTGTCTTTTATGTATGTGAAGACAAAGACTGAATAAAATGCCATGAATTATTTAAAAGAAAACAATAGCTTATGTCTTCAGCTAATAGATTTATAGAAAGTAAAATAAAATAGAAAATGATAAATAGTTATAAAATAGTAGTTGATAATGGAATTAAAATAACCAATAAAATTGGAATCTTAAACTTAAAATGACAGATGCTGGAGAAATGACGTCATTGTGAAGAGCAGTTGTTTTGCAAAAGACATGGATTTGATGTGAGATCTCATATGCTACTCTAAAACCATACATAAGTTTATTTCCAAGGGATCCTAGGTCTTTTAATCACCTCTGCAAGCACCAGAAACGCAAGTAAAATATATAATTACATTCAAGCAAAACAGTCACAGAAATAAATAAAATAAGTAAATCTAAATACATTAACAGCAATAATAACTAGAACAACTTCTGTAAAGGTACCTATTTACATAGTGACCATAAGAAGAGGTTCTAAGAGAGATTCCTAGACAGAAGTCCATTCTCAAGCTTCAGAGGATTTTTTTTTTCTTTTTCAGAGGAATGGATGGAACTTACATTCATCCTTATCTTTTTCACCTTTCCTCCTAGTCAGGCTCCATTAAGCTATGAATGAAACTTATCAAAGTGTATTTACAATGTACCATGCAATGTATCAGTGAATTCAGCCTGGCAATTTCCTGATGGAGCGATGATATGGACTGGGATGAGCAGCTGTGTCCGCAGCTGATTTGCAGAGCAGCACCGACTTTGATCGCGGAGGAGATTGGCTTTTCTGCCCTGCTGACTAAGGTGAGCTGCCTTACAGATTAAATGAGAAACAAGTTCTCAAGGACTGCTTTATCCGTGTCTTGCCACTTGAACCAGTATCTTCAGAAGGTTAAAATACACTAAGGAACAGAGTTCATTTTCAAATTACAATTCCTTATAAATAATTATAAAATTGATAATATTAATCTGAAGATATAACAATTTTATAAGAGCTAACAATAATTCAACTCTGAGGAAGTATACCCAAGTGAGTTAACACTTCTAATTGGAGCCAGTTAGAACTAATTATCAAGGCTATTTTCAGTATACTCTCACTTACATTTAGCCAATAGAAATAATTCTTTCAAAACACCCACTTTATTCATAGAAAATAAAATGAAATCAATCAAATGTGTAAACATATATTCATCTGTTTCTTTTTTTCTATTTCTTTTTCTTTTTTTGGGGGGGATGGATTTTTCGAGACAGGGTTTCTCCACAGCTTTTGGTTCCTGTCCTGGTGGTTCCTGTCCTGGTACTAGCTCTTGTAGACCAGGCTAGCCTCGAACTCACAGAGATCCTCCTGTCTCTGCCTTCCAAGTGCTGCGATTAAAGGCGTGCGCCCATCACTGCCAAGCTCATCTGTTTCTTATTGTGGAAAATTAGCTATGATCATGCAGATGGTAAGAGTTCTTCATTGTCCTCAATGTCATTAAAAGTTTTTGTACTTTACTGGAACAGAAAAACTGGCCCCTATAAGCTTTTTTCCCCTGAAAATTTAATATTGTCTTAAATTGTATGAACTTAATAAGGTTCAGTACTGTGGTGACCTCAATACAAGAATGCTGTAACTAGATTGTAAATGTATCAGTAACAATACTTAACCACTGCCCTTCATTTTTCTCAATGGAGGATGTATGATGCACTCTATCATAAAATACCATATTCTTCTATTCTATTGATTCCTTTCAAGACAGTCTTTTCCTCCAATACGTCTCTTAAATTCAATCCTCTTGAATTATGCTTGTGCTTATTCCATACTGAGCTTTAGTCCTTCTGTATGGGAACACATTTCTCCTTAAAATTACCGCATACCATCACGCTAATATTCTCTTGCTTTATAAGCTTTCCTACATTATTATATAGCTTACCAAACAAGGTGACATGCTTCCCTAATTTTTTTTCACAATTTTCTTTATTCCTGTTCTTTTAAGACAGCAATTCACTATTCATGTTATATCAATATAAATCATTAGGAGAAGGATAGAAGAGATAGTATACTTTTCAGATAAAAAAGTATCTGTGACATACATTGTCAGATAAGCAGTCAGATGGACTAATTCACTTCAACATTTTTAGCTTAGAATACATTTTATCTCAACTCACTTCTGGGCATTTATTTTCCTGTTGAAGTATTACCTGAGTGATTGCTAAAATGGCAAATACCTAATGCCATTGCTGTTTATCTTGAAAATACGCATTAGCTCAGACACTAGGAATCTGAACTTGCCATCTTTCCAAGAGCAAATCTGAACCTATTTAAAGATTCGGAATCTTTCTTTGGTAATTGTCTGTGTTCTATCATAAAATTGAGTGTGTTTTGATCTTAAGAACAAAATGTAATAGCTAAATTCATAAGGCTGTTTGTAGTTAAGAAATTAAAAAAATAAAGAACATGTGAATAATAAATGGTTTCACAAACCTGATCTAAAGGCTCTATTTCAATAAAATTATTTGTACTTCCTAATAAGTGTAAAACAAGACTGTTGTATTGGAAGTCTGTGGATGTTATATAAATTAGTATAATGAAGCTAATGGCAGTAACTAAACATGCATTTATTATAAATCTATCATGCTGAAATCAAAAATCCTTTTGCACAAATGTAAGTATTTTGAAAAACAGTTATTTTAATCTTTCAGGATTCATTTTATATTTGTTTAAAGAAAAAAAGAAACAGTATTCATCACATGAAAGAAGATAAAAATGCTGGACATATGAAAAAAGGTGAGGCAAAGGGCAAAACCGAAGAATCAAATGAACCTCAATGCAAAGAGAGGAAAATGGATGAGCGAAAAATAAGGTATTAATAAACACAGCTGACAGAGAGAAGGCTGATCTCCAGCAAGGAAGAGATCACAGCATAGAATGGCAAGAACAGTTGAAAGCTGAGACTTATGTCTGCTTTTTGAGATTCAGGTTCTCAGGTATTTTTCTGTTTTTTAGCAGTTGCATCAGAAAACACATTAACATTTTTATTAAATAAGATTTAATATCATTTAAAATATTTCTGCTGCGGTAAAAAACAATGACTTCTCGAATTTTGCATGCAAATGAATGGAAATAGTAAACACTATCCTGAGCGAGGTAACCCAGACCCAAAAAGATGAACATGGGATGTACTCACTCATAATTGGTTTCTAGCCGTAAATAAAGGTCACGGAGTGTATACCTGGTGAACCTAAAGAAGCTAAATAAGAAGGTGAACCCAAGGAAAATCATATAGTTATCCTCTTGGCTATGGGAAGTAGACAAAATTGCCAGGGAGAAAATTG